AAGCATTTGCATCAGTTAAAAATATGAGAAAATTGCAATATAAAGGTTTTAGTATATTACCCTATATCTTAGACATCTAGAGTTCTGTGATATACATAGGAAATTCTGACTCTGAAACCCATATTTTGGGCAGTGATAAATCATCCTATTTTATAAAGGCAGCAATTAAATCTTCCTGTTCTTTAACATATTTATCTCAGTGGGTTTGGAAATTCAGTTTTCCCTGGCTTTTAGTCAAGTGGTCTTTTTAGTAAGCTGCCACCTTTCATTTCAAAGTTTTCATTGAGAGCCTCCTAAGTTTTATAGGCAGACATATGACAGTGAAGTAGAATGTTCTCTTGAAACTTTTATTTTCACGTGTGATGGTCAGTAACAAGTAAGTGAATAAGAGGATAGAGATTTCGGAAATTTTTTATAGGACTGAGGAGATAGCTCAAAAGTTTGGAGACAAGCCTAACATTTGGAGGCTATGAGTTCTCTTCCTGGCACTCCCTGGTCCCCCAAGAATGAGAATCAGGGTAGGCAGGCAAGGTGTGGTTAGTCCCAGTCTTCTCACAAAGCATCACCACTGTTCTGAGCTCCTAATGAGCCCTGCCACCACTGAATTAAGTATCCCTGGAAAAGTGGTGGGGGGTGGAGTTATTCTCCCTGACGCTGTGGGAGAGATACCCCTGAAACAAACAAGAAAAGATGAAAGACATGGTTATGAATGAGGATAGGGAAATCTCACTGTTATACCCTAATATCCAGATTCTGTCAATATTTCAGAGTCATAAACTGTATTTTGAGATGGTCTTGAAGAAGACAAGGCAAATTTCAAGACAAGTGATCAGGGAATTCTGAAAATAGGAAATTCTATCTCTGGCATGTATATAGTTTCTATTAGAAATGCTACAAAACTCATTGAAGTTTGCTGCCTTTCTAAGATGATTCTGGAGTTTTTAAAGTGATAAGAACCTACCACAGTGTCCCAGGAATTATAACACTTAACTCCTTATGAAGCTTTTATCAATGTATTGAGGCATAATTAACTGAGGTAATTATTACTGTTAATTTCTAAATCCCAAGAATATTTATCTCTTCCTTTCAATCAGGGTAAAATAAAACATTTGTTTTTTGGTAGTAATTATCAAATGCTATCTGAAATGTGTTTGTGATTTATATATATCATGGTCCTCCCGTTGTTCATCGATTTGCTCGAGCGGGCCCAGTAACGTCTCCATCGTGAGACTTGTTACTGTGTTTGGCATATTGAATACATCATGGGTAGCTTGCCAGGCTCTGCCATGCAGGTGAGATACTCTCGGTAGCTTGCCAGGCTCTCCGAGAGGGGCGGAGCAATCGAACTCGGGTTGGCCATGTTGGCCGCTTGTAAGGCAAACTCCCTACCACTGTGCTATCGCTCTGGCCCGATATATATATATATATATATATATATATATATACATATATGCATGCCCATACATACATAGATATATATCATTGTCACTGTCCTCCCATGGTTTATCAATTTGCTCGAGAGGGCCTAATAATATCTTTATTGTGACACTTGTTGTTACTGTGTTTGTCATATCGAATAAGTCACAGGTAACTTGCCAGTCTTTTGCTGTGCAGGCGAGGTACTCTCGGTAGCTTGACGGGCTCTCTGAGAAGGGTGGAAGAATCGAACCCGGGTTGCCTGGGTTGGCCACATGCAAGGCAAATACACTACCCACTGTGCTATCGCTTTACCCCATATATATATACATATATATTAGGGAAATATATATATATACACACATATATATGTATATACATACATATACACATGTATATACATAAATATTTTTAAGATAAACTATAGAGTAAATAGCAAGTACTTGTCTCTCACAAAAGATAAATTCAATAAAAGAAATCTAGAAAAAGATAAACAAATAATACAGAACTGAACAACCCTACCAAAATATATATCTCTAAAATAATCATGACTTGTATCACTTGTCATCCTGTTGATCTTCGATTTGCTCAAGCGGGCTAAATAATCATATCACACAGAAATATAACTTAGCTGCAATATTTCTGATGTTCTTCTCTGCTTTCCTACTCAGAAAGTTACTATCAGTGATCTCAGAGATTTTTGACAGCTTGTGAAGTGATTGGCTGAGTCCCAAATGGCAATTTTTCTATCTGTTATGAGCCCATTATCTTAAACGGTTCTGATGATGGTTCTTGTTAAAAAACATTATCTTTTGGCCCAGGGGTAGAGTTCCTGCCTTAAGTTCTTTACTTTTTCTGCTCCCAGTTGGTTGGCCCCTTTTCTTCTTACCACCTGATAGACCTGTGAAGGTTTTTCTGTACATATTGGGCAGTTTCCTTCAAGATTTATAAAACTCTTACTTTGTTTCATGCTTTTGGGACATAAAAAAGCAACTTAATGATAGTTCAAGTAAAGTAAAATTTCAGAGTTAATACAATGAGACTACATGCACCTTAAAAAGAATAATAATCTCTATGTGAGAAAATAAACTCATTTCTAATATAAAAAGAAAATATCAAGCTTTGTAAAGAGTGCAAAAAACATGTATTCATTTTATTCAGATGTGCAAAATAAACCACTATCTTGTAGTTTTCTAAATATCGAGAGTGTTAATGGTGTCTCTTATGGTAAGTTAAGTTAATATTTAATATTTAATTAAATGAAGTTAATATTTAAAAAATCAGTTGATGATTGGGGCTAGTTTTCAGGGAAACCAGTAAGAAATCAATTAATTTTTTAAAAGGGAAGACATTCCAGTGGTTGATTTCAGTTGTCAAAGGCCAGTAAGTTAATAAGTTATGCCTATATGCTGAAACCTCTATAAAACCAAGCAGAGGGGAGTGCAGGTACTTCTATTTAGTGAACGCAAGGATTCTGAAACAGTATGCACAGAGATGGCATGTATGTAGTGTATGTTTTCCCCATACTTTGTCCTACACATTCCTTCAATTGTACTATTATAGAACCTTTGTGGAAATCAATGATCTAGTATGTAAACTGTGTTTCTGAATTCTAGGTGCCATTCTAGACGTTATTTAAACATGAGAAAAAAATTGTGGAACTCTCTGATACAGAGAAAGCTGGACAAAAATCTAGGTAACATCTTGGGCTTGTAGCTAACATCTGAAGTAGTAGACAGTCTTGGGGGAATGAGCCATTTACCAGTAGTCTAAATTTAGTTGAATTCTGAGCCTTTTTACTGGTATCAAAGAATTGCTTGATTCTGTAGGTAAGTCTTAAAACACCCACATTGCAATTGGATCCAGGGATGCTTTATAATATCTTGTTAATAACTTTCTATATTGGAAATAAGCACTAAGTTGAAGATTTTTTACATTTAGTATAATAGATTGGGTAGAATATGCTATTATAACTATTTTTTATCTTTTACAACTTTTAAAATGTGAATACATGAAGAATTACAATTTTATTGTTACCTTGAATTTTTCCTGTCTCAGATAAAATCACTGAAACATACTGTAATATCAATCCCTTTATCATGTGGAGAATTGTAAAATATTACTTTGGGGAGGCTAGAGCATTAGTAAAAAGGTTATGGCACTTGCCTTGCATATGACAAAACTAGGTTCAATTTCTGGTGACCCCTAGAGTCCCCTGCCATGAATGAACGCTGACTGCCAAGTCAGAAGTAAGCCCTGAACACTGTTAAGCATAGCCTGTAAACAAGGCCATAAACAAAAATATCACGGGTCACAGACCTCCCGTTGTTTATTGATTTGCTCGAGCGGGCCCAGTAACATTGCGAGACTTGTTACTGTATTTGGCATATCGAATATGTCATGGGTAGCTTGCCAGGCTTTGCCATGCGGGCGAGATACTCTCGGTAGCTTGCCGGGCTCTCCAAGAGGGGCGGAGGAATCGAACTCGGGTTGGCCATGTTGGCTGCATGTAAGGCAAATGCCCTACCCGCTGTGCTATTGTTCCGGGCCCCCCTCCAAAAATATATGAATTTTAATTTTTTATAGTTTAACATGGTGATATGTTTTCCAAATTATTCCTTAAAATAATAAAGATCTAGGCAAATAAAAATAAGAATAAAGACAGTTTTCTTACTGCTGACAGTGTTTTGGGTAATGTTCTTCTGACTGTATTTCAGTGAAAATAAACAAACAAAACAACAAATAAACACTGTCTTCCCATTGTTCATTGATTTGCCCGAGAGGGCCCATTAACGGCTCCATTTTGAGACTTGTGGTTACTGTTTTGGGTATATCGAATACATCACGGGTAGCTTGCCAGGCTTTGCTGTGCGGGTGAGATACTCTCGATAGCTTGCTGGGTTCTCTGAGAGGGGTGGAGGGATCGAACCCATCTCAGCCGGGCTGGCTGCACAGAAGGCAAACGCCCTATCACTGTGCTATCACTCTAGCCCAGCCATAAACAAAAACAAAAATAATACAAATCCTCTAAATCTTAATCAATATTGTACCAGAGGGAATCTCTGTGCTTTGATCATGAGCTGATTCTTTTTTGCCTATTGACAAGGTTTGCTTTTCCATCCTCATTCATAAGAGGTCTGGAGGGATAAACCTCTTGATCCTGGAAATTAAATGGAAAGGTTCATTTCCACCACAATTCTCAATCTGCTAATATCTCTTCATTTCACCAAAGGTCTCCAAAGAGCAAATTCTTTACTCTGGTTTTCATTCCAATAGACAAACCTGAGACAATACACAAAAAGCAAATGGATTTTAGAGTGAACAATAGAAAACATACCTCAGTGTGCATGTAGGGTATTGCCTTACATGTGAGTTTAGTATATATAGTCTATCCTTATGGAACACTAAAGATGTAGAGAGCACAGAGCTGGAAATAGGTAGTTTGCCTGTGATCATATTATCTAGGAAGAGGTAAGGATGGCATTTAGGCCTTTCTTTTTCAAGTTCCAATATACCATCTGAAATATTGTATTCTATGCAGTTTCCAAGATAACTGGAGAACTGATTTATAAATGGTGGATTTTGTGTAGCCAATTAAAGTGGCAGTGCTCTCTGCTCTATGGGGCCCAGTTTGCAATGGCTATAAACAGCAAACAGCCTCCTTGTTAGTGTCAAAGCCTGTGACTTGTATGGGCTTTTGTAAGGGACCCTGGAGAGAGTTCTTTGATGGACATTTCTGTCTGCACACATGCTGACCCCAGCCTCAGGCTCCAAACAGGTATGTGCGAGGGATGGTGAGACACACTTAAGAAAGTCCCAGAGCACAATGCCTATGGACCACACTGGACAACTCATAATGCCCATCCATCCATATCAAACTGCAGAATAAGGAGCATGCAATTGATGCTTTGTTTCAGGCAAAGTTAAGTTCCCTGAACTCCACAAGATCCACATCCCCATGAAGGGGGCTTTACAAAGTTCAGATTAGTCTGAAAACTTAATTGCTGAAAAGTGAATCATCCCGAAAGACTGTTGGGCCAAATGCATTCCACATCACTAGTCCCTAGACAAATTTTGGACATGGTTCTCTTGAGAGCTTAAGAGATGCTCTGTCCTGAGTCCCTCCTCTGCTCCCCAGTCTTCACCACCCCATCCCGCCTCTACAATATATCCTGTTTCGTAACAAAATAATAATTGATAGTGGTCATTAGTTAGTGGTTCTTAGATGAAGATTATAGTCTATTTAAAAATTCTGATCTTGTTGCTCTATATTGTTAATACGTGATTATTTCTCTAGGGGGAGAATCTATAATTTTTTGTTTTGTTTTGGTTGGTAAGGGGAAATTGGGTCATACCCAGTATTACTCAGGACTTAATTCTGACTCTGCACAGGCTGGCTGGGTGTAAGGCAAGCACTTTACCACCTGGACTATATCATTAAAATGTCACTTCCATTACTCTACTAAAGGACCTGAATCAAGTACTTTGGCTGAGTACTTTAGGACAACAGAAAATTAAGTCTTTAAGTCTTTAGGCCTTTAAGTATCACTGTATCACTGTATCACTCTCATCCTGTTGTTCCTCGATTTACTCAAGCAGGTACCAGTTACTGAGATTTTAGCAGCCTCTCCTTACTTGTCTTTCCCAATGATTGGAGGCTCTTTCAGGGTCAGGGGAATGAGGCCTATTATAGTTATTGGTTTTGGCATATTGAATACGGCACGGGGAGCTTGCCAGGCTCTGCCTGTGCGGAAAGGGCGGGATACTCTCAAGTAGCTTGCCGGACTCTCTGAGAGGCATATATGATTTGTTGCCTATTTTCAGAACCCCATCAAATACGTTGTGGTAATTACTTATGGGAAAATTTAGGAAGTGTCTTATGATGTGTCCGGAAAGTGGCCTGGGACAAGTGGCAGCGGCTGGGTAGTGGAGGTTGGCTTCCGGAGCTGGGTCCCTTGGGTCAGGGAGGGCTCTCACTGTACCCCCTCCGGGGTGCTCCGAGTGAAAACAGCCTGGCGCAGATTCCCTAGTCTTTTAGTAACTTTTGAATTTATGTTGTTAGTATAATTATATAGCTTTTTACAGAAGTCATCCTTTTGTATTATTCAAAGAAGTCACACAAGTAAATACATGTCCATCAGAATGTAGGAGGAAACTAAAGGAGTTAATCAATGAAGTGCTTCTTTATATAACTTGTCAATGAGAGCTGAGAAATGGTTTTTCCCCTTAGATTCTCTCACAGATTGGAGAAAAAGAAGTGAAGGGGCGATGAAAATACTTACATGAATTATAGCCTACATGTGTATGAGAATTTCAAAAATTCTTATACCTTTCTCTGAGAATGAAGGGAAAATACAGGAATTAAGGTGTTATCCTTGCATACAGACTACCAATTCAATCTCTGGCAACACATACGATCCCTGAGGATGGCTTGGATTGATCCCTGACCACAGGACCTGGAGTAATCCCTGAGCCTGAGCACAGCCAGTTGTGGCCCAGCCATTTTTCCCCAACTTTTTATTTTTGGAAAGGTGTTTGGTAAAAGGATAAAGAAGACTGAAGGAAAAAAGCCATTAATAAGATGTATGGGGTATATTGATGAATGCCTGATATCCTCTTTTCTTTTCTAATTTATATATTACAGACCTTGACATAGCTATACTAACAGAGACATATGGATAAATTCAATGTGATCTATATATTAGCACTGCACTGTCACTGTCCTCCCATTGTCCATCAATTTGCTCGAGTGGGCACCAGTAATGTCTCCATTGTGAAACTTGTTACTGTCTTTGGCCTATCGAATATGTCATGGGGACCTTGCCAGGCTCTGCCGTGCGGGAGGGATACTCTTGGTCACTTGCCAGGCTCTCCGAGAAGGATGGAGGAATCAAACCAGGGTAGGTCGCATGAAAGGTTATATACAAGGCACTGCCTGCTATACTACCACTCTAGCCATATTATGAAGATTTACTTATGATAACAGGTCTCATTCCCCTGACCCTGAAAGAACCTCCAATGTGGCACCTTTGGGAAGGACGAGTAAAGAGAGGCTGCTAAAATCTCACTGCTGGGACAAATGGAGATGTTTCTGGTACCCACTCGAGCAAATCCATGAACAACGGGATGACAGTGATACAGTGATATATGATACACAACACTTGATGTAATAATTGTTCCAAAACCAACTATAACTGATTTTTCTGAAGATTTTGAACTGGAGAAATTATAGTAATGAGTTTATGACATAAATAAAAAATTGAAATTAAGTTTACAAAAATGCAGAGTTAATTTTTAAGGGTTTTTGCCCATTGCCTTTCCTTCAGCTATTGTATGTCTTAATTGGTAAGTAAAAAAAATGATCATTTAGATAAATTATTGAAATTGTTTGGCATTTATGGCCATTCTATGGTTTATTTTAGTCTGCTTTAGTTTTTGTTATTTTGTTTCCTATTCTCATGTTCTCTTGTTCTTTTATATTTGAATTCCATTTCTAATTCCTTTTATTTATTTATTATTTATTTTTTATTATTAATCGCTTATTACAGTTTGTGCCACGTGCTGACACAGTGTTGACTCTGAACTTTGATGTGCATCATTACTTAACTCTGCATCACCGGAATGTTTAAGAACTTTGCCTTTATGTTATGGTCAGAAGAGCTCCTCATTCCCCCATCTCTTTCCTTCACATTTCAATGAAAAATGATGCAGGATCTAAGGCAACACACTCAAGTTTCCTCTACCCCCTGCTTGTTGGGTTGCTTATTTGTTGGTTTTGAGTTGAATCAGTTCTAAGGATTTTGGAGTTGCCTTTTTGGTGGGCTGGAGCAATAGCACAATAGCACAGCGGGTAAGGCATTTGCCTTGCAGGTGGTTGAGCCGGTCAGCCCAGGTTCAATTCTTCCGCCTCTCTTAGAGAGCCTGGCAAGCTATTGAGAGTATCTTACCCGCACGGCAAAGCCTGGCAAGCTACCCATGACATATTTGATATGCCAAACACAGTTACAAGTCTCACAATGGAGACGTTACTGGGCCTGCTCGAGCAAATCTATGAACAATGGGAGACAGTGCTACAGTGCAGTGTCTTTTTGGCAGATCTGAGTGTTGGGGTAAAATCCCAAATAATAATGGTGGGTCTGGTGTGGAAATATAGCAGTATCAGTTGGTGGAAATATTGAATGTAATCAAAGTAGAGAGAGAGTAATGTGGAAATCATCTGCCCCACAGGTAGGGGAGGGTGTGGGGAGGGGAGTATACTGAGGTTTTTTTTGTGGTGGAAAATGGGCACTGGTGAAGGGATGGGTGTTTCATCATTGTATGACCGAGACGTAAACCTGAAAGCTTTGTAACTGCTCTCACGGTGATTCAATAAATAAATTTATAAAAAAGAAAAAAAAAGTAAGGTGGAGATGATGCTCAACTCAATCAGTCTAACCAATGGCTGAATAAATAGCAATACTCCTACATTAAAATTAAAATATAATCGTTTCTGTGAATTTAAACCTGTCCTTTTTATATGTCATTATTATTAATGTTCACAATGATGCCAACGCTTTTAACCCACTCTCCATTCTATAGATAAGTCAAATAAAGTATAGCAAGAGGAAATAAAGTATAAAGGAAAATATAGTTATTTACAGAACATGAGTTTACTCGAGGAGAAAGTTTGATTAACTCCTATAAAAAGGATTCAATCTGCTGAGCTAGTTTTTAAATTTATCTATTCTTGAAATAATTGTGGTTGCTAGTATGAGTAATTATTTTTATAATTATTTCTCCCATGCAGGTTAAAGGTTACACATTAGTAGTTAAGCATTCTGGGGGAGTGTTCCTTCTTTTAAAGCACCAATATAGATATCAATTAAATAGCAAATTAGATATACTTTTTGACTTATGTGCAAAGAAGAGAATTGCTACAATTTAAAGGATTTTTAACTACTGGGTAGTAGGGTAATTAGGAAGCTGTCAAAGCTTGTTATGTTATCTTGTAGCAGTTGGTGTTCAGAATATTTCTTGCTACTCCTGTCTGAAACGAATGTGGTTAGTATGCAGTTTAAGTCAACAAGGGTTCAAAGGGGACAATTTAATTATAACTCTGTACCTTCTTAATTTTCAATTATTATGACATGGGGGAACTGCCCTTGAGAAAGGGAAGGTAAGAAACATTTTACTACTAGGAAAAGAGCACACAATTTGAGTAGATAAATTTGAACAAGGATAATATTTACTGGTTGTATATGTTTTGCAGTAAAAATAATAGAGTTTCAGAGTTGCTACTCTGTGCATACATGCAAACACACACACACACACACCAATAACAGACTGAAGACATTTTTTATAAAGACTATAAACAATAATATTGATATTAAATTGTTAAACACTGCTGGAGTGGTAGCACAGCGGTAGGGCGTTTGCCTTGCCTGTGGCCAGCCCATCCAACACGGGTTCGATTCCTCTGTCCCTCTTGGAGATCCCGGCAAGCTACTGAGAGTATTTCGCCCGCATGGCAAAGCCTGGAAAGCTACCCATGATGTATTCGATATGCCAAACACAGTAACAAGTCTCACAATGGAGATGTTACTGGTGCCTGCTCAAGCAAGTCAATGAACAACGGGAGGACAGTGCTACAGTGCTAACACTTCTTTACCAAAGGAGACATTTTTAATGAATAACTTGAGTAATACTAGGTTAAATAATGAAGTACTTTTTTTCTATGCAATT